GTCTGATATCGGCCTGGACGAGGTCACTTGATAAGGAACATTGGTTATTTCACCTTTTGGGAGATTTTTATTCTGTATGACATCATTGAAAAAAAATTACAAATCAATTTTACACTCAAACAGCTGAGCTGTGCTGAATTACGGTGCGGTTGCTTTTTATCGTGTACATCTGCTAAAATTACGAATTTTGAAGTTCTTACTTTGAATCTTTGGGAATTTGTCCTGCTTCTGAAATATATTTGTAATTTTTTCTTTTGGAGATTCTACCAAGAATCTCCCTGCCGAGTTCCCCGGCGGCGCATCGTGTTTTACTCAATCTTCTTTTTTGAATTGAATCATTTCTAATTAAGATTTAAACTATTTACTAATTGTCTTTGTATAACTTACAGTTGGAGTTTTTCTTTTACACCCTAGTTTTCGGGAATTTATTTCTGAAACATGACAGACTATTATTTTTGTATCAAATTTTCTTCATTTTTTAAAAGTTGAATTTAATTTCCAAACAGCTGACCTGTGGTTGGGAATTTTTTATATCCTGGATTTAATGAGTTTATTTTTAAGATATGACAATAGCTTATAAAATCACATTTTTGAAAGATTCCTTTTCTTGCACAATGTTTTGGCTCTATTTATGGGTAGTGATCACGACTTGAGAATTAAAATGTGACTGTATTTGTTGCAGTTGTTCCCTCCTTTCGGAGACCGAATTTTATTTGTAAAGTATTTTATTTCTGGAGATTGGAAATCACAAATGGTCCTTGTATATGCTTCTGTACATGTTTCTTGTTTCGAGGGAAAACCAGGTAATTTTCGAATGATTTCACATGAAGTTTTTCAAGTTTGGGATACCTGATTCAAGCAAATAATTTATCCACTACAGTAACATCAAAAATATATCAGATTGTCCAACTGATCGATTCGAGTTTTCCACACAATACCGGACCTAAAAGCTGCTGATTTGCAGAATAACGGAATAAGAAAAATATGCAGATAAAAAAAATTTGACAGAGCGTGTAAAAGGACCTATTTGGATTCGTAGAAAAATTCTTCGCATTTATTTGTCAAGTGGATTCAATGTTCCTTGACATTGGGCCTTTTCCTTGCCATCAAAGCACACAATAAATCATTCCTAAGAACAACTATATAGGAGCATATACAGTGAGACCCCCACATGCAGACACCTCAACATGAGGATAATTCGACATCAGGACATTTATTTTTCAATAAAAAGGGCATAAAAAAAAGGCCCAAAATATGAAAACTGACTCAACATAAGGACATTGCTTGATAGAATTGCCAAACATTTTCACAAAAATTGACTTCTATTTGGCTTGATTGCAAGAAACAGATATTTCCAACCTTAACATGTATGCAAGACATTTTTTTTTCATTTCTCCCATCTATCCAGCTAATTAAAAAAATCTTTTGCATAGACGGACTTCCCTCTCTCTTTGTGACTTGAATATTATTTTTGTTGATGCCAACATTTCAATGTACAGTACAGAGATACACTATTCAATGCTGCAAATGTTCTTAGTGAGGTAAAAATATATCCACTGAATCAAATTCAAGCGGCAAAGAATTTTTTTCATGGAATTCTGAAGAATATTTCTTCCATAAAACACCAATTAAAAATTTTATATTGTAAGTCAATGGGAAAGCAAGACTTGACTTAGGGACAATTCAACTTAGGGACACTCTTGAATCACCAATTATGTCTGCATGTGGGGGTCTAACTGTATACTCAAGGTGACTTCTTGAATATACAGTATATTTTTGGCTTCAAAATCAAATGAATACCTGTATGTCTTGTTTTTTTCCATTGCAGTTTTTATTATCTTTTCTTCCTAAAACCCAACAACATTTAACTCCAACAAAAGAAAACGAAGTCCAACAGCGCTTGATTTTCTGGGGTGTTTAGTTCAACAGCATGGGAAATTATGCAAGATTAAAATTAAATATATCCACAGCCCAACAAAATTTAGACATCCTTCACAGCATAATTTCACATTCGGAATCCCTGGTTCCAACTAAATAATTTTTCTACCCGCATCAAAAAAATATCGGTTTGTCCAACTTGACCGATTTGAGTTTTCCACTCAATAGCGGACTATAAAAAGCTGCCGATACACAGAATGACGGAAGAAAAGAAGACAAATTCTAACAGAAATTTACAGATCTTGTAAAACACGCTATTTGAACTTGGGCTAAAATCCCTCTTACTTATACTGTACTTGTGTACACGCAAACTGCGCTCAATTGGGAAGTCATGCCAAATAAAAATTAAAAAGTTAATAAAATGCATCCACAGTCCCAGAAAATCTGGACATGGGTTCACAGCATGCATCAAGGTGATACAAATAGCAAGTATATACTCGAATAAACCATAGCCAAGATCCCAGCAGAGATGATCCGATTAATCAACTGACGGCGGGGACAAAAATTGGGCCACTCTGGGACACCATGTTGTGTGCGTCTCATGGGGGGTGGGAAAGAAATATATCTGAAGGGGAGCACACACACACACACACACACACGCACACACACACAATTCCTGGCCCCACATTACGCCAAAGCCACACAGGATACATGGACAGTGACAAATGCCAGGGAAACCCGTCTGACTATCGGGCCAGGGAGGGGCCCCCTAAATGAATGCTGACAAGGACATTAGGTCCAGACGTGCCGCTTACGCAATGCGTTTGTGTCCAGCAACAAACATTTTTTCGGGTATCCATATGGACATGTGCAATTTTGGAATGGGGGGGGGGGAGAAAGAGAGGGATACAGGCGTCTGCATAATGGTTGCTGTACTTCTTTTTTTGGCATTTTTATTTTAATTATCTGTTAACCCTTGGGCAGCAGTTGTCCCGTCCCAAAGCAACTGTCCCAAAAACTTGTTGGATCTCAAGGCCAGTGAGCCTCACAAAAATCCTGTTTTTTGCAAGACTCGCTGAGCCTCACTCAAGGACAAGAAGTGGTCATCACTTCTTCAATTTTCCTAAAGTGGGCCAATCCTGAGCCAGGAATAAATCACCTGATTTCTTCCTGACCCAGTCCAAGCACCTGGGTATAAAAACCTTCATTCCTCTTTGAGAGAAAAAGTCAGAACCTAGCCTTAAAGGGCCTTTTAACTCTAATTACCTCATTCAATATTCTGAGCTAACCAACCAATGTTACAATTGACTCTGCCATTACAACCATTGAATTAACAGCCAATTGATGAACTGGGCAATGAGAATGAACTCCTCTGAAAAGAGTTTGAGTTCTTATTCAAAACTTGCATTCTGATGGCTTCACAATTCAATTCCTTTGTCTGGAATCCAAGAGACCCATGAAAGCAGTGCCGGGGTTTATCCGCAAAATTTTGTGCCCCAAGGAGTAAAAAAAATTGGGGAACAAAAATTAATTAGAAGAGCCAAAGTTGGGGAAAACCCCAAACTTTCTTTTGGCATTCTTGTAGAAAAATTTGAGAGAAATAAAAAGTACACTGCTTGGCGGGATTTTTTCTGCATTCTTGTCACAGGATTAGCATTGGGGGATTATCAGGACAATGACTTTCTATTTGTGGGATTTTTGCCAACTTTGGCTACTCAGCCAAAGCTGCATTAAGACCTTTGGTAAAACCAAGAAAAAAAACAGAAACCTACAGAAAAATTCCAGCACTTGCCAAGAAATGCAAAAGAACCTGCTGACACACAAGGGTTAAATGAATCATTTGGCAAAAATCACGGGAGCGAGCAAATCATGCACATAATTTCAATTTTTTTTAGGGGAAGGGTAATTTAAACCTCAACATAAAAGTTGGACAAGAAATAGTTGAATGCTGCAATCAACAAATTTAATCAAAAATATAATCCCCAACTTTGGGAATTGCCCATAAACGTGTCAAAAACAAGACAAAAAAATTGGCTCATAAACAAAATTCTTCACAAATGTAGTGATTCTGCAAATATAGTGGATCCTTGTTCATTATTCCAACAGACAATTATTTCCAAACAAATACTGTTCTGTATATGGATGGTGAAATGGATACAGTCCTCCTGCATGAACTAATCTTATTTTTCTCACAAGATAATCTTTATACCACTTTCATTTAATATACAGGAACAAGAAGAATGGAAAGAATTTTTTTTTCAGCACAGAACAGCAGGAGCATAAACTGGAGAAAAACTTCAGTCCAGTGCCTTTTTTTTGGCTATTCCCATTTTTTTCAGCTTCAGAATTTAAATCTCTTCGAAAAAACTTGAAAAAAATAAACATCACAAGATCTCAAACCCCTCTTCGCAATAAATTGTCAAAAAAAATTTTACGCCGACACGCGACAACTCAAAGCTGGCTGTTTCAAAATTATGGACAATACCATTTAGAATACATATTTTTATCATGGGATATGTAGCTTATTTTTCATAAATTCAATTTTTCTTTGGAAATGTTTCAGATTTGTGCGGATTTTCCTGGGCTTAAGAGACCCACAATTTTATTCTTCTTTCCTCGTGTATACTTCGTTCGAACTATGTCAGCATTTCTGGCATTTCTTTTGCATTTTTCCACCTCGTCACGGCGAAATTTTCAGATTTTTACGCTGGTTCACTGCCAAAATCCCAAAAATTTCGGTGGACAACGAAAAATAATTGAAGAGAACCTATAAAATGCAGCTGTCAAAATAACGGCATTCCTTTTTAATTCCTTTTTTCCTTTTAATTCCTTTTTTAGCGACTCAATAATCTCTGCAATCAATTTCATAAATCTCCCGTCGTCCATTTTTATAATTAATCTCCATTAAAAATTTTCCAGAATTCGAATATGGAAAGGGAAGGAAAATTGTATTGAAACTTTCCTGGGTGTCCTGGGATCGAATAAGTCACTCAATTCTCTAAAATAGCATTCCACCGATTGCAAAAAAACACAATAATAATATAACAATAATAGTATTAAATAAAATGAAACACAGGGGAACAAAGAAAGAAAGGAACCCTCTCTGGAACACTAATGCTGATTTATCTAGCAACCACTACCCTGGCATGCTTTCGAATGTCCAGCCCGGCCAATTCCGCAGCAGTGGGCTCGAAATATGGCAAAGAGAAAAAGAGAGAGAGAGAGAAAAGAGAACCCGGGTGGAAAACGCGGCACCCGGGCCCATCCATGGTCCATTTCATCTGGTAACTGGCCCGGGTTTCGGGGAACGTTCTGGGCAATAATTCCCGGATTTATCGCCTCCGGCCAAGCACCGGGGGAGGGTTCCTTCTTGACGCTGGGAAAAGACTTTTCTTGCGAATGCCACTATATATATGGGGGTTTATTCATTTATTTTTCATATTTCTCTGTCATTTTTCCCTCTGTATTTCTGCTTATTCTGCGTCATGCTTCATTTTTTTAAAGGGTTTAATATTGGCACAGTGAATCCGGTTTTGCTTCGCGTACTATAGGGGTCATCCATACTATGACTCGTACTCGCGTTTTCGAATTTATTTCAAAAATAGATACATTAAACAATCACGCACATTTTCTTCCGCATTTCTAATCGACGAAGAACATGATTGAAAAATGTCTGCAAAAATAAAACAATCCCCAGCGAGACAAAAACTAACGCCGAGGTTTTATTTTACTATTCTCGCGTGGTTTTTTTAAATTTCTGATCGACAAAAAGATCAAAAATATTATTTACAAAAAAAACCGACAGAATCACCCGCAAGGCAAAAATTCGAAGGAATTGTCTAATTCAAAATCTCTGCCTTAAAAATTGTTAAACAATCATTTTTCAACTACACACGTTTTCTTCCGCATTTCTAATCGACGGAGAATATGATTGAAAAATTTCTGCAAAAATAAAATCAATCCCCAGAGAGACAAAAAGTAACGCCGAGGTTTTCGTTTACAATTCTGACGCTTTTTTTTTACATTTCTGATCGACAAATAAATGATAAAAAAAAAATTTTTTACAAAATAAAGGATCACTAACCCGCAAGGCAAAAACGCGAAAGAATTGTCTAATTCAAAATCTCTGCCTTAAACATTATTAGACAATCATTTTTCAACTACGCACATTTTCTTCCACATTTCTGATCGACGAAGAATATGATTGAAAAATGTCTGCAGCAATAAATCAATCCCCAGCGAGACAAAAATTAACGCCGAGGTTTTCGTTTAAAATTCTCACGTTTTTTTTCTTACATTTCTGATTGATAAAAAATTGACCAAAAATTTTTTAAAGCAAAAAAAGAATCACTCACCCGCAAGGCAAAAACGCGGAGGAATAAGGCGTCTCGGGGAACCAACGCCCAGCAACAAAAGGCAGGCAGGCAGCAGAAGACCACGATGACAATAACGGCGTCCACACACACACACACACACCGGCGACACCAATGAACGGCGACACCTTTCTCCCCGAGGAAAAAAAAGAGAGAGAGAAAAGAGAACCCGGGTGGAAAACGCGGCACCCGGGCCCATCCATGGTCCATTTCATCTGGTAACTGGCCCGGGTTTCGGGGAACGTTCTGGGCAATAATTCCCGGATTTATCGCCTCGGGCCAAGCACCGGGAGGAGGGTTCCTTCTTGACGCTGGGAAAAGACTTTTCTTGCGAATGCCACTATATATATGGGGGTTTATTTTTATTTTTTTTCATATTTCTCTGTCATTTTCCCCCTCTGTATTTCTGCTTCTGCGTCATGCTTCATTTTTTAAGGTTTTAATATTTATTGGCACAGTGAATCCGGTTTCGCTTCGTACTAAATATAGAGGTCATCATACTATGACTCGTATTCGCGTTTTCGAATTTATTTAAAAAAAAAAGATACATTAAACAATCACGCACATTTTCTTCCGCATTTCTAATCGACGAAGAACATGATTGAAAAATGTATGCAAAAATAAAACAATCCCCAGCGAGACAAAAACTAACGCCGAGGTTTTCGTTTACAATTCTCACGTGTTTGTTTTTCTAATTTGTGATCGACAAAAAATGATCAAATATGTTATTAAAAAAAACCCGACTGAATCACTTACCCGCAAGGCAAAAACGCGAAGGAATTGTCTATAATTCAAAATCTCTGCCTTAAAAATTAATAGACAATCATTTTTCAACTACACACGTTTTCTTCCGCATTTCTAATCGACGGAGAATATGATTCAAAAATTTCTGCAAAAATAAATCACTCGTCCCCAGGGAGACAAAAAGTAACGCCGAGGTTTTCGTTTACTATTCTCACGTGTTTTTTTTTTTAAATTTCTGATCGACAAAAATGATCAAAAATGTTATTTAAAAAAAACCCCCCGACAAAATCACTTACCCGCAAGGCAAAAACGAGAAGGAATTGTCTAATTCAAAATCTCTGCCTTAAAAATTGTTAAACAAAAATTTTTCAACTACGCACATTTTCTTCCGCATTTCTAATCGACGAAGAATATGATTCAAAAATTTCTGCAAAAATAAATCACTCGTCCCCAGGGAGACAAAAAGTAACGCCGAGGTTTTCGTTTACAATTCTCCCGTGGTGTTTTTTTTTCTTTTTCATTTCTGATTGACAGAAAAAATGATCAAAAATGTTATTTAAAAAAAAAACAGAAAAATTCACCCCTAAGGCAAAAATACGAAGGAATTGCCTAATTCGAAACCTATACTGCCACGAAAATTAGACAATTATTTTCAAACTTCGCGCATTTTCTTCCGTATTTATAATCGATGAATAATATGATTGAAAAATGTCTGCAATCTATAAATCAATCCCCAGCGAGACAAAAAGTAACGCCGAGGTTTTCGTTTAAAATTCTCACGTATTTTTTTTTTACATTTCTGATCGAAAAAAATAACCAATTTTTTTTTCTTTTTTTTTTTACAAAAAAAAAGAATCACTCACCCGCAAGGCAAAAACGCGGAGGAATAAGGCGTCTCGGGGAACCAACGCCCAGCAACGAAAGGCAGGCAGGCAGCAGAAGACCACGATGACAATAACGGCGTCCACACACACACACACACACCGGCGACACCAATGAACGGCGACACCTTTCTCCCCGAGGAAAAAAAAAAAAAAAAAGTAGCGTCCCCCGCTCGTCGGCGACGGACCACAGGAAAAATTCAAATCACGAACGCGCCTCTTCCTGCTGACAACAACTCATCATCATCATCATCATCATGATGGCGGCGACGACGACAACGACGACGGCGGCGGCCCTCGAGAGTCGCGGCGGTTATTTTTCCCCCAAGGGGGCGGCACTTGATACGGCGGCGGTCGTGTTTTATAAATTGCTGCTATGCTGTGATGGTTCCAGCACAGAACAGCAGCACACGAGGGATGCAGACAGACAGACGAAGACCGCCAGAAATTGACACACACACACATAAAAAAAAAAAAATAGAGGAAAGGGTGGAGAAAGTATAGGAAAGGCGCCGCGTTATTTCAGGCCTCGTCGTTGACGCTGCGGCGGCAGAGTGCAGCAACCATCACGACCATTTTGCGACACCGACACCGACACGATATATATATATATATATACATTTATATTTATATTTATTTATAAATTCAGAGATCGCCACACACACACAAGCACACACTTCTTCAGATGAGGAGGATCTTTTCCCCCATCCTCTCTCTCTCTCTCAGTGTCGGGATGATGAAGATGCTTCACTATATGTGTGACAGTGCGACAAAAATGTGACGACATTAGTTTCAATCAGGGCGTGTGTACAAAAGCTGTCACTTCTCCGTCCTTCGCCTTTCTTTTTGACACGCAAATTACGAAGCAAGAAATAATAATAATTTGTCCAAAAAAAATGATTATACTCGTATAGTGATGATACTTACGGGTTACGACTGACATAAAGCTTGCTCTGGTACAAGGACTCTATACGGAAGCATGAAAATTATGAGTTCACAACAGGAGAAGCAATATGGTGGTATATACCTCAGATAACGGACGCTTCGCTTTATGGATATTTTCCCTATAGTCCAGTAGCGCTGAAACATCCGGTACTTTTTTTTTATTGATAGGGGCACAGTTTCTAAAAAATATGACTGTCGTGAAATTGTTTTGTTGGAAATTATTTGAGGTTTTTTCCCTTGGGGAAATGAGGCCACCACTCCCATCAGCATCACTTTCAAAATGAGTGAAAATGTTTTATTTGATATTTTTGGGTGAATAGAGATGCTGAACATGTCCCTTTTTGCATTTTCAAGTCACATTTTTAGTCATTTCATGTTTTCAATGCAATATTTATTTCTTCAGTGATTTTTTCGAGAATTTTTGAAACTACTTCTGCCGAGGGAACAAGCATGAATTAACCTGTTTTTAATTGTATTTTAACACGTTTTTATTGACTCGCTTTCTTGTCCGTTTGTTTGTCCAGATCAAATTTTGCAACTCAAATTTTGCTCACTTACCAACTAGCTAGCAAGCTGAAACTTTCAGGATAACGCACCACGTTTAAGGTTATTTTTTGCTTTTTGAAAACGTTGTTTTTTAGATTAATTTTTTAATCTACTAAATTTATGCTAATTAACCCTCAGACAGCGGAGGGTTCTTTCTCAGTGCGCGGCGGAGTTGTAATTTTTCCTGGGGGCAGCACATTTCAGTTTGACCCAAGGTGACTGAAATGCGCCCAGGTTGAGAAGGACTAAGTTGGGAAAAATCTGGGAGGTGAATTTTCTTCTGTTTCCAAGATGTTCTCATCCAAATCCTATGCCAGGAATGCAGGAAAAAACGCCACCCAGCCTAATTTTTGTGGAAAAATTTCTGCAGGATCAGAAAAAAATCTTGGACTTTTTCCCCGACTTATACCCCTTGGTAAAAAAAGTAGGTTTTTTTTTATTCCCAGTTCCCAGTGTAAAAAATTTTGCAAAAATATCCAAACTTTGCCACACAAGGGTTAATGCTTTAGTGGCACCATACTAATCTGTCTGGAATTCCATTACCCCCAATTCTAATTTCCAACATAGGTTTCACACACATACTGTATATCTCACGTTAAAGGGGGAAAATGATTTATTTGGAATTCCTTCTTTCTTATTTCTTGGAAATTTCTGGTTTTCCAGTGGGAACAGGTGAAAAGGTGACATTCAATTCCGAGGTGCACGCACATGTCTTCGACACAGGACGAGTCTGGAATCGATCCTCATGAATAGATGGGCTGACAAAAAACCTGCCCTCAAAAGCAAAAAAAAAGAATGAATAGGTTGCGTTTAATTTTATTTATTGCAGAATGTCGTGGGTGAAGTATGTCAAAATTGCACGCTTCCCACAGACATTCCTTGGTATTTGTAAGTTATATTCAATTTAATATAGGTGGACTCCCTCTGCAACGATCTTATTGTCTACAACGAATTCTCTGTATAAGGATTTTTACTGGACCAATAGAAATTATTCTCTCCCCGTGTTATGCATAGTACCGGTTCTCTACAACAAAATTCTCTTTACAACGATTTTTCGGGTCCCTTGAGTTTTGTTGTAGAGAGAGTCCACTCTTGTTAGGGCACTTCAGATTATCAGATCATTTGGAAAAATTGTCGATTTTTATTTTCTGTAGGATTGCATATGTTTACAAATTGAAATTTCAAAACAGATTTTCTAAGAGATAAAGGATAAAATATCGCATTTTGAAGTCTAATACATGAATGCGCTGCGGCAAAAAAGCATTTTAAAGTTCTTTGCGACGATCATCATGCGAAAAAAATTTGGGTCGTTATCTTCGTCATTTCGGTGCAGCACTGGGAACTTTTAAAAAATTAGAGCGCCGTTATTTCTTCAAAATAAAAAGATAATTCGAAGTACAGTAGTTGGAAAATGAATACATCAAAAACTATCATCTTGAAAATCTGGCCGATTTTCACATTGAATACTTCCATAACAGCGAGAAAAATTCCAATGCGCGCGAAAATCTGCAATTCTCTCCATTAAAAGCAGATTTCGCAACGCTTCAAACGCAAATGTTGTAAAACTTTCCAACTTTGTCAGCAGAAGTATTTTTAGTTACTTTTTTCATGATTCATCGATGGACTTATATATTGAAATGAAACAAAAAAATATTCAATCATCTCGCATTCCATTGACTTGAGGAGAAATAACGTAGAACCAGCAGGGGTTTAATTAAGGTGATAATGAGGCTTAATCATCGTCATCCTTGTTTCATTGATTGTTTGACGCAGCGTTGAAACAGCAAGCAGTGCTTCTTCTCCCAAAATTCGATCATCACTTATCAAACGAATCATCGTCTTCGAAAAAAATAAATAATGGGAAAACATTAGAAAAATTCATTCTCACTTTCCAATGTGCTCAATATACTGTATACGTCAGTCAATTGAAAAATATGCGTTCTGTTCTTCAGATTCAGATTTTTTTTCTGGTAAGCTTTCGAACCATTAAATTTTCAAGATCAAACTAAACTATTTTACCAAATGATAGCATCATGCTGACCCGCAAATAATTTTTCATAAATTAAAAATTACTAATGATGCTCGGTCCAAATTTCCCTCGCAATTTTAGCAAAAGCTTGTTGTAAAAAAAGTAAATTTCTGGGAGATGAAAAAAATGCAGGTGTACTGGAAAATTAGTATGAGCATATACATATACTGACTTCTGGACACAGATAATTTCAAGTCCTTAATAATTAACTATACATGCCCAATTTTTCAAACTGAAAACAATTCCTCAAAAAAATGAATAAAAAGCTCCAACTTCACATTAGCTCATAGCACTGAGGGACATTAGAAGTCATTCATAATTTTGAATTTTAGTATTATTATTCGTCATATATAACTGTACTAGAAGAGCACAACCAGATTATTTAAACTACAGTAAAATCTCGATATAATGAAGCGTTGGATACATTGAAAAAAAATTGCATGTTAAACGAAAATCCCTTTTTAAAAAACGAAATTAAAATTAACATTGTCACTTCAGTGGAAAGATGCCAAAAAATCGCTTCAAGTAAAGTATTAATTCAGGATATCGAGAATCTTTGTAACGAAATTTTATTTTTGCATATTTATTTGGCCAACAAAAAAATTTTTAATTTCATAAAGCACCTGAGGTAAAATTGGAAAGTGACGGCGATCTTTGGCTCTCAAAGGACGCGACGACGAGATTCCTGGCCTCTGAAACGTTGAGCTCTGATTTGCTCCGTCGATTGTGTCGCGACTCACTGCGACTGTGTCGACGATGACGGTGTCGTCGTCGACGACGACTATTTCTTTCGTGCCTATCATAAGGCTGGTAACGGGGATGCATCCACCTCAAGGCCATCGCGGTTGACTCCACGATTTGCTCCAGGGCACTTTCATATTTCATTCAAATATCCAGGAAAAAATGGAGGTTTCACAATCCGAATTGACTTGATTTATCCAATTGTGCATTAAATGATAGAAAATTGCTTAAAGGTCAACAATTTTTTTCTCTATTACTATTGGAATGACTTTGAGGATTCTGGTCCACATTTTGAAATATGAGGTTTCCATGAAAAATACTTCAAAATTGAGTGATTTATTCAGAACCAAAATAAAAAAATTCATCACTTGAATCTGACATCGCTTTTTTTGGAGAAAAAATACTTGCGGAGAAAAATTGGTCGCAGAAAAATTCCGTAATAATTTATTCTTTTTTTTGCTTTTCGGAAACTTGTTCTCTGCTTGACGATTTTGAAATTTGGCCAAACAAACGAATTTCATTAACTGGGTTGGAGAGTTGATAATATAATTTCTGAATAAAACTGCTTCAAGAAAACAAAATAAATGCCATTGAAGAACCATCTTCACTTCTGCCGATCAAAATATTTTCTAATAAATTAGAATGCTTTAGGTAAACAAAATTGCGAAATTTCATCCAGAGCAGTTCATTCGAAAAATAAAAATGCAATTAAAATAAGACTCAATATTTAATATTTAATTTAATTTAATAAGTTATAATCTGAACAAGAAAAACCTTATGTGGACTTGTGTTCGCAGCAATAAAAATTCACCCATTTAAATGACCTGAATCAGCTTTTCATGTACAGTATATATATTCATTTTATTTATTTATTTATAGACATGATATAATGAAATCAGTTGACGGTCTAATTTTACTGTATATCCAACCGTGTATAGCAGTAAAATCTCATTACAGTTAAGGTACTGCCTTTTGGGACCACGAAAAAGCGTAGTTATAGAAAATTAAAAAGCGTCAGAAAAAAATTTTAATAGTTAGACAAAAACCTGAAAAACGAATTTATCTTAAGCGATTCTTTTCGTAACGAGATCCGTTGAAACTAAATTATTTTATTGCATATAAAAGAGTACAAGTATATGAAATCACAGAATTTAATGAAACTAAAATGCTTCTTTCGATAAACAAAAACTCTTAAAAATCCCTATCACCAAAATTTTTTTTTAATCTCTCTCACCAAAACGTTGCTTTTTTATCGCTCTCACGCATCTCATAAATATATAAATTTAATTATTACACTACAGCTCGAATCCTCACCAACGTCGACCCTCTTCATAAGCCAACGCGTGACTCAGACGACTCGAATACGAGCGCCATCTCTCGTCAACCGAATCGACACTATGCCTGCTGCTGGACGATGAGCCATAACACTGATGATTCGCACAACAGTAATGCAATGCCTCGGACATCGTCGGTCCATTATTGCTCCCAATAAACTGCTGGTTATTAGCCTGATCAGGGATCGGGGCCTCAGACACGGGATTCATATTCGAACCCTGGGACCCCGAGGCTGTGCCAATCACGACTGCTTCGGCAGGCAGGAATTGCAGAACGGGTAAATAAGCAATGACGGGTTCCTGATGGTCTTGACTCATCGGACCTGATGAGTCTGCAGCAGGTGGAGGCGAGTCCGTCATGCTGCTGCTCAGTCTCGAGTTCAGTAATCAAAAACACCCGGGGGCGAAAAATTGAAACACAATTGATGATAACGCACGCAGACAAAAAAAAAATGCACGGCCCACTACTGATGACGATACACTCGGCAAATATATATGTAATATATAATAAGTGAGTGAGTGAGTGAGGAAATGAATTGGCTATAATATATTGGCCTTTAATGGTGCGTTCAGTGAAACCTTCAATAATCTCCTGATTCCCTCAATTCTTGGAAAAATACCTGTAAGATCCACTGAAGGATTTAAATATCATGCATTGAAATTAAAATTACAGAGAGGCCCCCAGCACATGTGGAAACCTTGACCTGCAGACAATTTGACATAAGGACACTTATTTTCCCTTATAAAATTAATAAAAAAGGCCCAACATGAGGACACTGACTCAACATACTGACATTTTGTGATAAAATTGCAAATACATTTTAGGCCAAATTACAAGATACAGATATTTCCAGCCCTAAAATTGATGTAAGAAAAGTTCTTTGGCATTTATCTCACCAATTTTCCATCCATTCAGCTAATTTAAAAAATTTACCTCTGGCAGAGAGGGACTTCCTTCTCTATTTTTCACTTGAATCTTATTTTTACAAAGAATGCAAGCATTTCTATGTACTGTACAGAGGTATCACGTATTCTATTCCCCAAATGTCCATTTTGTGTTGAAGTATATTGATTGAATCAGTTTAAATTGGGAGACACTTTTTATTTTTGTGGAATTATGGTAAATATTTTGTCCATAAAACTCCAATCAAAAATTATATAATGTAAGTCTAAGGGAAAATGACTCAACTTAGGGACACTTCAACTTTGGGACACTCTTGATGCACCAATTATGTCTGCATCTTGGGGTATCACTGTATACACTTTTTTGTTGTTGCTGCAAGATGTTTTTGTAAGATGAGCTCGCAGTTTCCGTCGTGCAATGGATGATAGATGTCGCATCAATTGCATGATTTATTGTACTGTATATGCGAAAGTGTGTGATTTAGGAGCAAAAAGTTTTGAAATACACAAAGAAACACGTAAAAATGACAATGCAATACAGTGAACCCATATTATAATTTTTCCAAGCCGTTTCATCCAAGGTCTTCCCATCAAATCTTTGCGGGGCCACAATTTTGCGGAATACTTTTGATTTCGAAGGATAAAAAATTGTTGAGTATTTTTCTCAGGATAGGACAAAAATTTAACTTGGTTTCAGAAAAATAAGCCACAGCTTAACCAACAGCCATTATTTAAAAAAAAAATCTATCTTAACATATCTAATATGGCCCTACTTTTGATCAAACATAGCCTAATAACATTCATTATCATTTTCAAAAATTTTTCTTCAGATTTGTGAGGGAGCAAAAAATGGCTGAACACTTTATTTAGGCGTACTTATTTTCGAAATAGAGATTGTATCATTGAGAGAAACCTACATTTCGATAAAAAAAGTGAAGAAAAATCGCAAGATTTTTTTTATGCATCTTTGATGCAGAAAGATTAGCTCAGTTTCCATGGCATTTCTGCAGGACCCTCAAACAAAATATGTTATTCATGATGGAATTTCAACTGTTCATTTTTGAGTGCACATGGATACTAGCTCTGTATGATACATCCTTGTTATTGTAAGACAAGAAAACAATCAATCGTTTTATTTATTTGATCACATGTATAATATTCCCACTGACGAAGAAATGCCAACAATTCTAGTCCCAGAGTTCAGGGACAATTTTTGACACTCACTGTGAAAAATAAGCAGCCTGGAAACTCAAAACCACTCAATTCCCTTAGAAATACGATTTTTAAAATTTACTGACCACTTCTCGTAAAATTAGCATCCTCACTTCAGAAAAACTGCACAGGCCAAAAAGTGTGATCTTCAAAAAAGGATTTATTTTCATACGCCAAATCAAAAACAGTAACTGTACGTTAATTATGAACTCTCTATTGTCCTAGTCTCAAAATCTCTTGATTTTAGCAAATCCACTGAGCACTCAAAACTTGGATTGAAATTTTATGTAAACTTGATGCTGGGTAATTCAAACCTCCCTACATTGAATAGTTCTCAACGTCAAAATTTGTTTTTAAATGCCTCTCTAAATTCTCTTAGAAAAAAATGCATTAAAAACCTCCCTAACTCAAAGGTTTTCCCTCTCAAACATCAAAAATCGAATTTTATGAAGGCTTTCTGCCTATTACCTCATATTGACAAAAGTTGAAGAAGAAAATGTGAATTGATGCGTTTTGAAAATAAATAAAAGACTAACTTGACAAATAAACCTTTGCATTCAATTTCAGTATCAACCTGTCAATTAATTCAAGCTGTAATGGATTAAGGCACAGGATATCATCAATTATAATTTTCTTGTAATGCTGATTTCTCTGACCTTAGATGAATATGCTTGTTTCCTCAACTAAAAACCTTTTCCCAGCCCCATATTATATATACAGTAAAGGTGTGTCTCAATAACTCAAACCTCCCAAAGTTGAATACCCTCCTAAGTCAAATATTTTTTTCAGGTCCTGTCTAAATCCCCTTACAACTAATGCATTTGAAACCTCCCTAAGTCAAATTTTCTGTGACCTGTTGGCTTTTATTTTCTTAACACAAGAAAGAAAAAAAATCAATAAAAACATAAATTGATTTGTTTTAAAAGGAGGTGAGGGACTTGATTGGGCAAATGAACCATGCCTCCAAGTTCAGGATGCTTTCAACTCATTTAAGAAGTAATTTCAGCCTCAGAAAATTACAATTTACAATGTTGAGCTATTTTTCTATGTTTCCAAACACGAAAGTGCTTTGTATTGTAGCTCAATTCAAAACCTCCCTAAGTCAAATTTTTTTGCTGGTCCCTTGACTTGGAGAGGTTCAACTGTATATTTTTTGCAAGTCACAAAGTTTGCCTGACTCCATCTTTGAAATCCAAGTCAACACAAACTTCTGACATTATCTCGAATATAAATAGGCTGCAATCTTTTCATCCATAGCGGCCGCATATACGAAATAATATATCGCGTATCAGCCGCATCAACATAGTACTGTACCTGCATGGTACAGTATTTTATCAAGAGCACTGTTACAAAAGTTCTCAAGGCGGGTTTGAGATTCAAAATCAAAATCAATGTATTGTATACACGCATTATTTCCGCAGTTCGATTTCATATATGTATATGCCAAACACCACATACAGTACACACACACACAAACTCTGTCCTCACACTGCACTGCTATAGCTGGTGATGCACCAAAGAAATATTTAAAATACTGATTTATGTTCAGTATATACACATGCATGCACACACACACACAGGAAAAAAATGGTATACGTCGTAGGTTCGGCAGAAGACGCAACCACCGGTATGCCAGTGGACCCGGGGTTGCCCGAGCTCTAAAAAGCACCTCCTTGTCTTTTCCAAGCACCCACCTCCCCCCCTCTGGTTGCCGCGCCGGAAGACGGCACCCATCAGCACACACACACACACACACACACACACTCACTCGCAGCACCCACCTCCTTCCCTGCAACACCCCCCATGAAACCTAGGTCGCAATGTTCTCTTGTAATATACCAGCGAGCCATGAGCCAGCGAGAGGGAACTCGCGCGCGCCATGCATCCCGGCGCGAAGGGTGCGCTGCTGCTGCTGCTCCTGTTCCTTATTCTGCTGCTTTATTGTGCATGAGAGAAAAAAACTGGGAGCAGGGATGAAGCACACACTTACACACATGTACAGTACACAGATGAGAGAGAGAGAGAGAGAAGAATTCTGTGAAGAAAAATGTGGAGCATCAGTGTTTAAAAATGCATTGCTTGTGCATAATACACTTATGTTTGTGTATGTGTGTGTGTGTGTGTGTGTGTGTGTAAGAAAACCCAAATGGCACCAGGGTCTCTATATTATATACACATGTATGCCCACATACACACATATGAGAGAGAGAGAAGAATAAAGAAAAAATGTACATCAGTGTTTAAAAATTTATTTTGTATGCATAAAACATTCTTCATTATTCTCTATCTCTCTCATTGTATTGTATTTTCTTTTATTTTTGTTATCAATTTGTGCTTTCCTGCTCTGAAGTGATTAAATGTCATTGAGTGGATTTGGTTTGGTTGTGGAAATCTTGATTGAACCTTGTGAACGCTGAAAAGCGGCAAATAAAGTGTTCTGTTCATTCATTCATTCATTCATCTCTCTCATATATGCGTTTGCATATATGTGTGTATAATATAGGGATCCTGGAGCCAGGTGGGTTTTCTTACACACACACACACCCAAATGCAGATGCACCAACGTATGGAGAATTTGACTTGGGGGCACTTTTAACTTTAAAAAATCTATCCCTTAAATCCAGACAGTGACTCAAGATATGAACACTGTTCCAGTATTTCTGAAAAATATGTTGGACTCCCACATGTATGTTTGTATTTGTTTTTTATGCTTAGTTATCTGGAAGGGAGTAGAGCATAGTGATGTTGTACAGTATAATGTATTGATTTTTTTTTCAATACAGGCTGATTTTAAATTAAAACGTTTTTAAAGTTGGTTGCGCAGTTGACATGACAGATTATTTATTGATGAGCTGCATATGCTCAAAACATAATGTAAAATACATTAAGTACAGGGGACTGGAATCAAATTCATTGTAACAAGAATTTTTTGCAGAGAACCCCTTTTCAGATGGGTAGAGAACTCTGCTCACTACATTTTTTTCAGTGACAGAAAAGTAACAAAAGTTTGAAAGTGAAGCTACCAGGATCCTGTTTTCAAATTGAATCGAATCCAAATTAACTTTGTTTCCAATTAATTATTTCTACACAGAATTATACATACATATTTCTAGTAAGAATTGGGTATGACGCATACTGGAACTTTCAAGAATTTGAAGCAAAATTGTATACCTGCATATGCTGATTTACACACTCTTTTTCCCCTCCTAATTTTGAAAAACGTTGCCTCTGGTACTCAGGTAAATAAGGTGAATCAGAATCTTTCAGAGACACAGTGTTTTTTAAATTTTCAAATTTTGACTTTACAGGTCGTGCCTTGCAATTTGACCTCCTGCAAT